CCACCTATGGCTGCTTCTTTATAGGGATGGCCCTGACTCTCCCTAACCAATGCACAGTAACAGTATGGTGGCTGTGAGACCTCTATATGTCCATTTATTTTCCCCTGGGGTCTTCTGGAAAGTCACATGATGTCCCCAGGTCTTCCCCAGGGGAGCCTGGGCTCATAGGAAATGGGTTGAACGGTGCTTACCATTATTATACTGGGAAGAGGTAGGGAGCAGTGAGTCTTTGAGGAGCAGAACTAGAGGAAAGATATATTTATATTTGTTTTTTTACATGAGAACTGGAGATCTGCAGCTGAGTGGACTTTCTGCATTCAGCACCCCGGTCTTGTTCCAGGCTTACACTAGCAGCTCGCCGACCTTTTATAGCAGCCGCTTGTTAGAGATATTTGTGTTTGGTGAATATGACAACACTACACAATTAAAAGACGATTTCTTGTTTCAGCCCCTGGGGGATTACTGCACATTGCTGATTTTTTTTGCACTACACAGAATAGACCCCGAGGGGTCTGTTAATAATAAAAAAAAAGAAAATTGCATAGCTATCCATCCGATGAAACTGAATGTACATTCGTTCTATGCTAGTTAACCAGCTATTGTATAAACGGGGGCAAAATGAAATGTTCGTGGTGTATTATTCTTCCCTCTGGTCGAATGTTCTGAAGGCGAAGCATATAAATAACATAAATCAGCGGGCGCTTGCTCTGACTTGCAGATGAAATGAACTCTCCTATGTTATGGATGGTCCTGTCAATTCTGATAACAGCGATATTACTGTGTTCGTGTTGCAAGTACAGGAGCCACAGCAGGGCTGTGATATAATTCCATAGGCCAGGGGTAGCCAAACTCCGGCCCTCCAGCTGTGGTGGAACTACAAATCCCATGAGGCATTGCAAAATTCTCACAGCCACAGACATGATTTCTGGAGAGAGATGCCTCATGGGATTTGTAGTTTCACCCACAGCTGGAGGGCCGGAGTTTGGCTACCCATGCCATATAGACTGATGATGATTGGCAGATAGAAACAAATGTTGCAAAACAGAAAAACTAAATAGACTTCCCGTTCTGACAATCTGCGCGAAGCACAAAGTTTATTTATTTGTTTGTTATGCTACATTGTTTCTTCCCTCACCCCGGTGACACAAATGTGATCAGAATTGACAGGACGACTCCTAATATAACACAGCAGCGGTCACCAACCTTTTCGGACCTCATGGACCACTAAATTCATAATTTTAAATCCCGCGGACCACTAATATGAATTTTTAAAAAATATTGATATATTCTCATATTTTTTGTTTCCTTTTATATAAATATATTCTCGTGTGTATGTATGTATGTATGTATGTATACACACACACGAGAATATATTTATATATGAGGAAACAAAAAATATGACACTATGGGGGGATTTATCAAACCTGGAGCAGACAGAAACTGGAGCAGTTCCCTATGGCAACCAATCAGCTTCTATCTTCAGTTTGTTCAGTTAAGATTTGAAAATGAAACAGAGAAGCTGATTGGTTGCCATGCACAGCTGCTCCAGATTGTGTCTGCTCCAGTTTTGATAAATTACCCTCTATATGTATATACAGATACATACATAGGTGCGGGTGTGTCTGCAGGAGTGGCAGTGCTGGTGGAGGGAGGGAGTGGTGCCGCCCGCCTCGGTCCAGTAATAATATTAATTGTTTCCCCCCCATCGAATCTGCCACGGGCCCTGCCTCCCCTAGCTTCAGCATTGCCCCCAACCATCCCCGTGCCTCCCCTTCCCCCACACTGAGCCACTATTACCTGGCTTCTCCCCACTTTTTCTGTCACGCAGCCTGCTCAGTCCGGGTACTGACGAGATGCCCCGCCTCCTGCAGAGCCCGCACTGTACTGAGAGCCGCGCATTCCTTGTGACAGCCGCTGCTCGAGTCAGTGAGAGGCAGCCCCGGAGCCTCCGCGCCGCTTCAATGACGGCCCAGCCTGCACGGCATCAGAGGGGCCCGTGGACCACCCAAATCTTCTCACGGACCACCAGTTGGCAACCGCTGTACTAGAGTTAATTTCATCTGCAAGTGAGAACAAGCGCCAACTGATTCGTGTTATGTATCTGCTTCAGAACATTGACCCAGAACAGAAGAATAGCCTAAGAACATTCGATGTTCCCATTCTCAGCTGCGGATAACTTGCCAGGAGTGAATGTACACGCAGTTGTACTGGGTGAATGTCTATCCAATCCAATAGACTCCAGGTATTTGCAGAGATCCCAGTGAGTCTGTTGTAGGGATTCCTGTGCAGCTTTTGACTTTTGCACTTCCTGTGCGACTTCTTTGCTTTGTGTCATTTTCTCAGTGGGGGAAAAAAAAATTAATCCGTCACCTTCTTACCATCCATGGACGAGCAATGTGGCCACAGTCATGAGTCAGTGTATGCCGTGGTGCTTCAGTGGAGGATCAGCCATGGACATGTGGGTGCTTCATGTAGATGTAACTGGATGACATTTAGTTGACTAAAGAATTGTAAAATAATCAATTGCCAGGCTTCTGTTGTCTATAACTCTTTTTTCTTATCCTTGTATCTCACCACTGACCTCCTGCAGCCTCTTTGCCTTGTGGAAAATCCGGCCCTGTGTGTACCGCTGTTACTTGCCGGCGGCCATCTTGGCGATGGAGGCTGACAGAGAGAGGAGGGGACGTCACCCAACGGGATAAGGTTTGCCGCCGGGTCCCCTCCTCTCTCTCTCGAGCAACTGTCGGGCTCTCGGTCCTTGACCGAGTGCCCGACTTTTCAGAGGGGGGGGTGACACCAAAATTACTCTCAGTCATTTGGGTGTCACCCCTCCAATGGTGTCGCCCGGGTCGCACTCCCCTGCAACATTCTGCAATCTGATTGTACAATCTATGCAGTATGCTAAACAATCTGTTTTATCTGCATCAATTCAGTCCACCTATTGAACTACACAGTTAATAGTAGAACTATGTTACATCTCTGTGTTGCTGATTTCCTGCTGCCACTTCCTGTCTATATACACTCCAGCGATGGCTGCACGGCATTGCTCAGGGCGGGTTTCCCTGATGGTGACAACAGTGGACCATGTCTGTGTAATGTGCACTGAAATGGTCAGCTGTAGTCTCCGTCGGAAGCCTGTGTGACAGGGTCAGAGCTGTCCCCAAGGCGATGACGTTCTGGGTGCTGGCAGGGAATGGTCACTGGGGGGTTTCGGGGGGATGTGACACCAGGTGACGCCAGACTGCGCTGTCAGCAACTCTGTCCAGCCACCCACCCAGCTCACAGACACCACTGGTGGCCAGGAGCTGGCTGGAACGCAAGCCAGAGTGTCCCCGCTCAGCTCCTGGCAACCAGTGACATCAGTGAACTTGGCAGGAAGCCGCACAGAGCGTCACAGGTTGCTAAAAGCTCTTAGCAACCTGGGACGCTGTGGCAGCCCCCACCATCCAGCTATCCCCCAATGAGATGCCAATGTAGCTAAGAGCTCTTAGCAACCTGGGACGCTGTGGCAGCCCCCACCATCCCCCATTGAGATGCCAATGTTGCTAAGAGCTCTTAGCAACCTGGGATGCTGTGGCAGCCCCCACCATCCGGCTATCCTCCAATGAGATGCCAATGCTGCTAAGAACTCTTAGCAACCAGGGACGCTGTGGCAGCCCCCACCATCCGGCTATCCTCCAATGAGGTGCCGTCTAAAGTGGCGGCCTCGTTAAAAGGAAAGCTCTGGACAGGGTGACCACTCAGGAGCGCAATTAGTAACCAACGACAGAGCGTTGTCACCCCATAACAGGAAGTGCCTGAACACAGACCTTCACGGCAGGATCACCTGGCA